GATTTTTATTTTTGGATTTTGGACTTCCAAAACTTTATCACTGCAGTCAGAGATGAAAAATCTACAATCTAGAGGGTAAATTTCATTCTCTATTCTTCTAATTCTTCTTCTGTTCTTCTAATTCTGTAGTTCTTCTATGGTATCAGCATTTATCAATTTGCTGCTGCATGAAATTGTCAATTATGTTTTTATGCTCTAGAATTAGCTTTTTAAATCCATACATCAGTGCAATTCTTTCTGTAAAATTGGGTTGATGATTTAAAAAAACGGTTTTTTTCCTTCAGAAAAGGAAATGTTATCATCTTTGTTTCCAGTATAAAACCTATTCTGACCACATTAACTGTTTTCCGCTTAAATATTCATCATTTCAAAGAGGAAACTGCTACTGTTTCTTTGCTGTTTATTAGTAAGTGCCACCAGAAAGAGGGGCTTCTGAATTTAGTTGAGTATTTTAGCTGATAGAAGCTCAGTTACATGCTCAGGACCGTAATAACCTCTTGCGATAAATTTCTAGTGGTATTTAGCAAATGAAGCGCTTGCTTTTATGTTTAATTGCATAAGTAACATTGAAAAATCGCTCGTGGCTTTTGTTTTTTCCACACTCTGCTAAGCATATGGGCTCGCAAATATAGTTTATAGGAAAATAAAGAYTGTAAGTTAAATATATAAATAAAGAGTAATAGTAATTCGGGTATTAGCACTTATAAAATGGGGCGCGTACACGCACCCCTTTCCTYTCCCCTCCCCTCAGCACCCGGCGCTTCCTCTGCCCAACCCCGCTAGGCGCATGCGCAGGTAGCCCCGCTGCATGCCGGGATCTGTAGTCCGTCCGAGCAGCCTCTGCGCTTCCGGGCGCRGCGGCCGCCCGCTGCGGGAGAAGGGCGGAAGCAGGGCGGAAGGAGGACGGGGTCGGCGTCACGTGGGCCGTTTGTTGACTTCCCGTAAAGGCGGAAGGTGGTGGCCTCGGGCCGGGCCCGGCTCGGCGGCGATGGGAGCCCGYGGGCGCCGCGGCCGGCGCTGCCGCCCCGGCAAGGCGGCCGCCCTGCACTGAGGAGCCCGGCCGAGCGAGGCCCGCGGAGGTCGGTGGGGTCCCGGCGGGGGCGGGCGCCGCGGCCCCGGGCCCCGGGCGAGAGCGGGGAGGCCCCCGGCGCCTCCGGCCTGGCGGCCCTGCCCGGGGGAGGCCCCGGGAGCAGCGCGGGAGAGGGGCGGGCGCTCGGCGAGGCCCGGCGGCTCCTAAACCGCCTCGGAAAGCGGCCGAGCTCCGGCAGCCGCGGGGGTTGCGCCGTGATTCCCGGGAATGCGGCAGAAGGAGCCGCGGAGCTCGGGATATCGGCGCGGGAACGGGGCGCCAGGGCAGGCTGGGGTGGCGGCCTTGCGGGCCCTGCCTTGGAGCGGCTGCTGGCCGGTGTCGGGGGAGATCCCGGATCCTCCCRGCGTTCTCGCTTTATAAGGAAACGCGTCCTAAAATCCCGGTGCTTCCCGCGGGGGGTGATTCACCCGCGTGAGCTGCGCCCTCGGCTGGATCCCCTCGGTTCCCTGCCGCCCTGCGCCGCGGGTGCGGGAATTACACTTACCGTTACCGTGGGAAGTGCCCGGTGCACGCCGGGGTGGGGCCCTCTGCCTCTGGGATAGCTCCTTAACGCTGTTCGTTCGAGAGGCCTCGATGGGCCGTGGGAAACATTGAATTGCTTGGAATTGGCGTGCGACCAAATGCTACTGCTAGTAATAACCCCCCGGTATACTTATATATATGTATATGTATTCTGAAACTTCTGCTGGAGGTATTTAGCAAACCAAGTCCAGAAATACTGATTTTTATTCTTATTTCTTAAGTGCTTTTCTGTTATTAACTGCTTTTCAGTTTTATATAATCATTATTTAAGTGTCGATCAGGTGYTCACACTAGAGCTTAACTAGAAGAATTTTACCCCCAAAGAATGCAAGTAAGCATGATCTTGAGTTAATCACTTGAGTTACTAAGTAGCATTGAGATCCAGTTTGCTGCAACAGGGCAGACGGGATTAATACTGGAGTCGGGCTAGTGAGTAGTTTGGCTGGAGGCGCTGGTGGGTTCTGCTAAAAGGATTTGTGGAGGCCCCTTCCTAATGTGATTTATGCAGAATCAACTTTGCAATCAATTCTGTGGTTTTGTTATATGCATATACTACGATTATGTGAATTAAAATATAATCATAAAGTTAGTAGTTATGTAGGGTTATAGATTTCAAATGGTAGATGCTTCTAGAATTCATTGGCATGTTTGGGGAAAAGAAGGAAAATATTGATAACCATGAACTGAACTTGGAAAAGTGAAGCATAAGGACCTTGAGCATTTGGAGCCATCCGTTCAGGAACTGCTGACTAGAATGTATTCAGCCTTGTTTAAAATAATGAGATATAAACCTGAATGTATTAGTAAATTACAGYGTGACTAGCGGCAATCACTGAGATTAATTTCCTTCTCATACCTGCAGTAAGTGAGGTGCTTGTAGTAGAATTGAAAGTACTGATGCAGTTATGTAAGATTTTCATAATTGACTGAACATATGAACTTACGGTGCACAAATTACCTAATAGTTGAATAGAGTATGAGGAAGCTTGTGACCGAGAGCTAGGAGTGTCTGTTTTAAAAAGGAAGATTAAAACAAAAGCTCTTAATTTTGCCGACTGTCAGWGGGGTCATTTTATATAAACAGTTTGAAGGAAGAGTGAATGAACACTAAGAAAGATCTTGGTAACCTTGGAATGAACTTCTGCTTGATGCCAGAAGAAGGTTTTGACAGATAGACCACATCTTCCTCATACGTGTTTCCCCTACTGCTTCCCATTAGTTTCAAAAATAACTTGATAGTGTAATAAGAGGGATTAGATGATGTAGTTGCTGTGGATATTGGAAGATACTTAACCGACTCAACCTTTTTTCCTTCCCCTTTCTTCTAGTTGTCAGGGGACGTGGTTGTTGTGACAGCGTGCTTGGAAGGCAAATGGAGTACGTGGTGGGGCGGGTAATACCTGCAATTTAGCAGTGAAGTTACAGGAGGATGAAACTACTAAGCGAGAGGGAAATTTACCAAGCACTGCTGTCATATAATGGGCTTTTTAATGCATTTCTAATCCTTGCAAAATTAGAGGGCTGTGTATTGTAAAAAGCTTGTGCCCAGACGTTTTGCCAGTGGTTCCTGAGCTGCCGTTGCAGTGCGTGTGGCACCTGTGGCCTAGGCGGTGCTCCGTGGTGCGGCTCGTGAGGTCCCTGCCCGAGCACAGGGACAGGCAGCGCTCGAAGCCGTTACCTGCCGCAGTGGGCATGCACAGAGCTATATAGATGTTTATATATGTAAACATATATAGATGTTTATCTGGAATACGGGCTTATTGCCGTCGGAGTCGTTGGGAACCGAAGGCAGCTGGCGGAGAGATGCAGAGCAGTGGAKGCACAGGAGGCTGGGGGCCTTGCCTGACTGAGGCGTCGTGTGCTCAGGCTCTGGAGCCTCTGTTGTCAGAGGTGCAAATTCTCTCCTTTGGTGCTATGTTGGAGTGTCTTGAAGCCTTTGGAAAGGAGGAATATGAGGAGTGTGGGCAGGTATTGCAGCACGGCAGAGAGAAGTCCCTTTTAGGATTCCTGTGATCAGATATGTTGTTGAATTCAATCTTTTATTTCTATGTGTGCATCCCTGTATACACCGTTATTTGTCAGGCAAGGTGTACCAGTATAAAATTGCAATCTATTCTTAACAGTTGGAGAATGGGTTTGTTTTACTATTGTTAAGTCAAACCCCTGAAGCCTGGGAGATAAACTAGTATAATTCACACTTTCAGTGGCCTAGAAATGAACTGGGAAAATACCATCTTGGAATACATATGCATTTGACACCATATGCATTTGACTGTCCTTCAAAATGTAAGGTGGAGCAGAATGGGCATCTGCTGGATATCAGGAAAAAACTTCATGTAATCCTGCATTTATTAGTTTAACACCTGACCCGAGTATAGGATTAGGATTTCAAGCTATAGGAATTTATGGACTAATCGATCTGCTGTTATTCACTGCATCCTGGAATTCATTTGAACTGTGTTATAATGTGTTCCTTGTATGTAAAATGTGTTTTATATTTAACTGCCTCTGTGGAATTAATGACTAATATTTGTAAAGCTCTATGAAAAGCTATATTACTGCTAAATAAGAAATGGGAAAGCATATTATTCTCACAGTGTTTAATATATTAAATCCCAAAGCTGTTTTTAACTTGCATTAAGTGGCAATAAGTGGTGGAAGTGGCTTCTGGAAGCTGTTCTTTCCTGCAGTGTGTGAGAGAGTGCAAACGTGAAAGAAAACTTAAGCAGTGCCCGCTGCTCAGCTGGTGCTTGGAAGCCRTGAACACAGTTGCTTTTATGCTGCATCCTGTGAAGGGTGGTGGTGTTTTTCTGACAACATGAACATTGACTACAAACGCTGTTACTCGTGTTCATCTGATGCTGAAGGCTCTGTAGGAGTTGGAGCTCCAGGTAGATGGAAAGTGTGGGGTGTTTCCAAGGGGCAGCTCCTGTGCACTCATCGTAGTGCCCGCGCATGTGGCCTCTTTGGCTTGGAGAAGCTCCATGGGTTAAAACCCGGCCCCGTGTTTGCAGCTGGGCTCCAGGAAGGAGCTTGCAGGCCCTTCCGGCACTGCCCGATGTGGGATAGGGGCAGTTGCTGCTCATGGAATAATCTGATAGATGTTTTCTTTCAGAAAGCCTTTCTCTGCTACCTACAGGTCGTATTCTTCTTTTTAAAAAACCCTCACATGATACAAGACAACCTAAACTCTTGACTCCTATCACGAAAGACTAAAAATAAAAACCGACAGCTGTAGTTGTAGCCCTCTTGCACATAAAGCCAGTTCCCCTTTGCTTGAAGCTTTCTAAGATTTCCTCTTGATAATTCTATTATCCTAATGAAGTCCCTCGAGGAGAAAATGTGTATGTGGGCAGGCTGTCTGTGCTTGTGCGGGCTCCTCGGAGGGCTGGTTTGCCTTGCTGGCACTTGCTTGTGTTCCCTGACACCACAACAAAGCGCTGAGGGGAGTCTGTGTCTGACCGTGACCCTGAGAGAGCTGCTGATCCTGCGCTGCTCGCTGGCCAGGTTTTATCCTGGTAGGAGCTGATGGGTTTTATTTGCCTCTAACACAGGCTGAGCAAGTGCTGGAACTTCACTTAATTCAAAATACTTCGGAAAGCTTTTGCGTTGTAGAGGGTTGTGTGTTGGTTTTTGTTTGTTTGTTTTGGGTTGTTTTGATGATTGTTTTTTTGGAGGGCTGTTTATTTTAGATATCTTTAATAATGTTTTGTTTTCAACAGTATAATTTACAGTTCAGTTAGTGGTAGATATATTACAGTTTACCTTTTGAATAAGTCCATATGGAAGTCGTAGCACTTTTCTTAAATGTTAGGAAACTATAGCATATAGCCCTACCAAGAAGCCTTGGAAATACCTAATAAAGGAACTATTCAGCATCAACAGAAAACAGATGAATATATGCTGATAAATTTATGAAATTATTTTAAGCTGGTTCTTGTCTTAGGCTTTGTAGAGTCGCATCATGACTGTTTAGCCTAGCAGTGGAGCAGAGCTTGGCTCTGTTGGGGTTTGTTCAGTTTGGAGGAGTGGGAGCGACCTCAAAATATTCACAACTTGCTTTATGAAGTGGCTGTGCTATGGCAGCTTTAAGGGATCTTATGGCAGTATTAAAGTGTTTAGCAGTTTTAAATGAATGCACTAATTCTAGTAACTCTCTGGATAGGTTTAAAAATGGTGTCATTCGCAAGTCTTTGGTTTTCGTTCATATTTTGGGACATATTTTGGCCAATGTCACCTGGATAATAAGTAAGAAATAACTCATCCAGCCTCTATCATCATCTGTGCATTAAGGCTGCCTTTTAAAGGTTGGGAAAGGCAGACAGTATTTTCTTTCAAGATCTCATCAGAAGAAATAACTTCTTTTTTACGCTTGAGAAACGTAGCAATTAGTAGCTTCGTTATAGCTATAAAATAACTTCCTTTACTACAGTTCTGTGTTGTATTACAAAACCTGCAGCAGGATATTCCTTTGGAGTTTCAAATACTTCATACTTGGTGCCATCCTCGATTTCGCTAGTGTTAACAGAAGGAAACTCTGGAGTTCATAAATAGGGTTCTTGGGATTTTTTTCTCAAAAGTAACAGTCCAAGATGTGCTTATTTTCTGACTAGTAGATTTTTAATGTAAAATAGGTTTTACATGGAGTTTTTATGCAAATTTAAGATATTCCCTAATTTTACAGCTTTATTCTATTTGAACAAGACACCCTCCATTTTTTTTTCTTTATTTATTTTTTTTTTTTAAATGAGATGCTTCTGGTGAATTTATTTTTGTGGAAATTTTACATTCTTTCTTGTCTTCTTAAACAGCTGTCATGGAGGAGTTGGTGGAAGATGACATCTGTATTTTGAACCATGAAAAAGCAGATAACACTCACAAGAGAGATGGGGAGGTTCCTGTTTCACCCTACAGCGGAGATGAGTCTGTGGCCTCACACTTTGCCCTTGTCACTGCATACGAAGACATCAAGAAACGACTAAAGGAGTCGGAGAAGGAAAACTCCCTCTTAAAGAAAAGAGTGAGAATTCTGGAAGAGAAGGTAAGAAAAAGCTGAGCTAGCCACCGTTTGCTACCAGCTCTGTTAGCTCTCGTGTCAATGGCAGAGCAGATRTGAGGTATATAAAACATATACTGAAAGTTATTTTCAAGTAAAAATACTGGTAAATTATCTACCAAATGAAATACTTCTTTTTTCCCCCCCCGTGATAGTCCAGTTATGTTATATTTGTTAGACTGGATTTCTTTGTGTGAGTGTCTGTGTACGTGATCAGTGCAGTGGTGCCACGCAAAGAGGCTGGCTTGACTCGGACGGAATTGTAGGTGCATTAGATCATTGCTGCATCTTATCTGCCTCTCTAGAGTACTTATTAACTCGGGGTCATCCAGCCTGGTGTTGTTGAACAGTGAAGTGCCAAGTCCATAGGCTGTCAGAATCCATAAATTGTTAAGCACCAAGAGATTCTTCTAATGAACAGAGTGACATCATCAGGAAAAAAAAAAACGGTTGGTGCAGAATATCTAGCTAGGTGTAGCTAACAGTCACCTCAAACGTGAACTGCAAAGTTAAGATGCTCAAGATGGAAGTGTTGACCGACTGTTACTTGACAGAGTAATTCTAAAACTCAAAGTAATATTAAAAAGTTGCTTTTTGTATGCTCTTGCTCCTTGCATTAGTCTAGTGAAGTTCGTTACAGCTAAGAATGGATCATGATACAGTTGTCTCCACCATTAAAGCAAGTTATTCCTAAACACAAAAAATCATTCAGCAATGTCTTTGCAGAAGGCCTTGATTTTTCATTAATTGCTTCTTATTAATACAAGATTTGGATTAAAAACATATCAGTTGAAAGTTGCAGACTGTAGAAGTGCTGACTAGCTGCCCTTGGTGAATGTTGCTGTGCTTGGTAGGAGGGTAGGAAGGCTCTCATTTCCTTGCCTTGTTACACCCCAGCTCCTGGGCTCGCGGCTGGAGGAGGAGTGCAGCTCTGTGGGCCGCGAGCAGGTGAACAAGGCCTACCAGGCCTACCGAGAGGCCTGCATCGACCGCGACGCGCTCAAAAGCAAGCTGGATAAGATGGTAAGAGAGCTTCCCGTCTTGGGCATGTTCCGCAAGTACAGCACACCTAGGGATGCTTACTGAAAAATAGATTTTGCTTGCTGAAGGTCAGCAGTGTTTGCTTTATTGCTCGGTTTTTAAAGCACCTCATACTGCTGCTATTTTTTGAGAATATCACCTTTTCATTACTGGGCTTGGCTAATGCTAAAAATATATCTTAAATCAGTGAAAGGATTAAGATGTTCTCCTGCAGAAGAAAAGTTGAGTTGGCAAGTATGATAGAGACTTTCTTTTCCCCCCCTGAAAACAGAGGAAAGAAACTTCAGAATCTTTGAAAATCATGAATGAGCAGTTGCAGTCTAAAGAAGTGGAACTCTTACAACTGAGAACTGAAGTGGAAACTCAGCAAGGTACGTATTTGGTTATTCCATCTTCACTGGTTGTGCTGTGAGCTTTTTGATGGACTGCATTTAGTGCTTGTGCTGTGAAACGGGTGCCTTCAGAGGTGTCAGCCCACGTATAGAGTGAGCTGAACACTGGCACGAGGCGTTTCAGGCTTGTGTTTGTTCTGGCTCATGGTGGCACGCATGTTAGGTGGCTGCAAGACATGGTGAAGCAATGAGGCTGTTGTGCTTTTCCACACGAGACTATTCTAATATTTTGAGAGGTGCATAGCCTTACAGGTCAGTAAGCTGGTGGGTGTGTTTGTGGGGGTGTATTTTTGTTGTTGGTTTTTATTTTGTTTTTCCTATTGCTGACTTGATGTTAGGATCATCATCTCATGTCGCTTCTCAGTGTGTGCACGTATGTGGTTTTATTTTGATTTTTTTTTCTTCCCTTCTCCTGCCTAATACAAAAGTAACTGCCAGACTTTACCCATTTGTTTTGATTTCTTTTTTTTTTTTGCTGCCGTGTTTGGAACAGTTTGCTTTCCAAAATTGGGGGAAAAAAATAGGGTAAATGAGGTAACACCTTAAATCTGGAGGACAAGGCTGTATTTTCAGTGTGTAAGAGGTAGGAAAGATAGTATATATGCAGAGTTTTGTATTTTTCAGTGACTTTATGGCAACACTTTTTCTTTATAAAATTTCTACAACATTTCTGGAAAGCAGGACCCAAAACAACTCCCCCCGCCCCCCCAACCTCTTTATTAGCGTTACTGTTTCTCTGCTGTTGAAGACTTGATAGCAGCTTCCGCTGGATGWGGATTTTATAGGGCATCTGCTGATTAACAGAAACTGTTCAGGAAAGGCAAGGTGAAACCTTACGTATTGAATCTCCTTGAACCAAGACTGAACTGTCTTGCTTATCTTCATACAGTGATGAAAAAGCTGAATAGTACTCAGTCTAGCTGGGAAATAGAGAAGCTGAACAGCGACCTGAAAGTGCGTAGTCTGGAAAAGGATCTAGAAGAGCTCAAGGAAGAGTGCAACAGTCTCAGAAAGGAACTGCAAAAATCCAAGCAGAAGGTATCTTTATTTTTAAGGAAATTTTATTAAAAGACTTGACTGTGTTGTTATGCTCTCCTAAATCTTTTCTTCAGGCAAAATAGAAGGTAGACAAGTAAGTATGTAATTGAGTGGAAAATGACCATCTTAGTAAAGTTAGGCATAGCTTCTTGGAAATAGTGTGCTTACACTGGTGAGATTTCCCAGCATCTGCTGTTTTAAATAACAGAAAATGAAGTTTTACAATTTCTTGTAAGTAGCCATTCAGAATGAAGTRTTCGGTGCTGGTGTTTGTTTTGGACTGAGCTTCTTAAAGGAATGATAAAATGCTTGTCTTAAAGATCTCGTGAGCCCCCCAACCTAGAGCGGGCATCCAGAGAGGCAAGGAGAGGAGCAACCTGAGGCCCTGTCCTTCTCCATAGGTGCTCTCCAAGCACGTGTGGTCCGAGTGCTGTGTCCTCAGCACTGAATTGTCTCCACAGATCAGYCACTCAGGCTCCGCTCCCGGTCCACATGGACGTGTTCACATGGACATAACTGCATCAGATGTCTCATCTTGGGCTTAGGCTGAKTTTTTTCCACTAGGTGGGGATAAAGCCCGTTAGCTGGGTGTAACTGTCGTGACTGTTGCCTCTTCTCATTTGCGGCTTGGGCCCTTGGTGATACTTCTGGTAAATTGTAAATTTTGAAGACGTTCTGTAACTTGTGTGCAGTGTAGGTGTCTTCAGGTAATTTTATAGAGGAGGGTAAAAGGCACATAATTAAAGATTGCCGCTTGTGCTGCAAGAGTGTTACAAGAAAGACATTACTAGACATTACAGTGTTCAATGTCTATGGTAAGAGCACTTGCTGTAGAGAGGGAGTTCAAGGAAGAACTTTTTTATATATAAATTCTATTCTGATCTTGAAAACTGGTAAATGTAGGAAATAAAAAYGAACAGCGTTTCAAACTTGGGGCAATATCGTGTGGCTGGAAGTTTTTTGATTGTTCAACAGATGATGGACAGATCTTCAAAGATCGGGGGAGTTGTCAGGTGAAACAGAAATAGGACAAATGGGTGATGACAAGTCAGCATTATTTCAAACCTACCTGCTTTTATTTTCCACTTATTGTTTCTAATTCATATTTTCAGAAACTCTCTGTTTCAGATACTTACTCAGATTTTGTATTTTAGCTGAGTATAATCTATGTGCTGTACTGGCAACTTGCTGTGGTTTCATGATGRCCCGTTTTAATTTCAAGTAACAATTCAAGTTCAGGTAACCCCTCAGACTAGAGAAAAAGATTTAGTAGAAAGGGAACAGGGGAAAAATGGGTATGAATGAAGAGTTAGAACAGAAGCATCACTAAGATGGCGTTCGCTGGTGTAGGCACCRCGTCTGATGTGCTGAGCACAGGGAGGCAGCTCGTGTGTATCGCTGTGCATCACTTGTCTGCATGTACCAGGTAGATGTAAGGGAGAAATTATAGTTAGCATAAAAATGACTTGTACAACTAAATCTATACTGAAACATTTTGTTTTAACTTAAAAAATCTTTATATTTTGAGGCAGGGAAAGAGAAGGCTGACTATGCTTTATTTGTTTTTAAATGCGTCAAACTTAGTGTATTAACAGCGTTGCTCAATTTGTGCTTTTCAGGTAAGTGCAAATTCCAGGGGCTCAGTGCAGAGAATGCTGATCATGCGGATTCCAAGCCTGTGGGCTGCTCTGGTAGTAGCTGCATGTTTGTGTGCTGGAAGGTGGCCTGGTAACTGTTTGGTTATGTGAAAGGGGAGCTCAGTTCATTCAGCAGGTCAAGTTAAGCATTTTGAAGTGGAGATTCTGAGTCGAAGTCTTTATGCCCATTTTGAAAACTGCTGCAGCTAACAAAAATGAAGATTACTGTAGTTTGGATTTTTGAATGTAAACTACATGTAATGTGTTGTTTCACTACAGTATTTACAGTTAATAGATCTGAGCTCATCTGCTCATTTCCTGTCCCTCCTCCTTTCCCCTCACTCGGATGCACAGGACCAGGCTCAAGAAGAAAAATCACTAAATGGGGACCTCCTTCAAAGCCAAAGCATTCAGAGGTATGAAAATTGAGTGATTTGGGTTTTATTATTAGTTTATTGAGAAGTGTTTACTTGACCTAGTAGATTTTCTTGCAAAATCTACAAGCAGCTTCTTTTGATCTACATAAAATTCAAGCTGAAGTTGACTMTATTTCTCCATTTATCAAAAGCACTGTTGTCTTTTTTGTTTTGTTGTTTTTGTTTTCTTTTTTTGATTGATTGACCAGGATGATATCGTGAAGAAAACATTTGCATCTTCAGATTAATGTACGGAAAAGGAGACTTAAACTGTCTTGGACTTAAASTTTGTCTTTTAATAATTGTTTGACTGGAGGTAGTAGTTTAACTTCTGAGCCTCCTTTTGGCCTTAGGAATCTTAACGGTTCTGTACATGTGAAGATTCRTGTTTCTGTAGGTGGTAGTTTCAAAACTCTTTTGTTTAGTGTTGAAACACGTATTTTACTTAGTGCAGCAAAGTAGTTTTTCTAGTTCTAGTATTAGAAACGCTAGGCAACTAGTTTGACTATTTTYATTCAACATCTTATTCCTGTAAAATTTAATATTCAGGAGCCATCTTGTGATCTCACCCTYTGAAGGACTCAGTCCAGCTACTTTTTCTAAAAATGACTTCAATTACCTTTTGACTGTTTCACCATGTAGGATTTAGTATTACCTTTATCAGCGCTTTCATTAATGGTCACACTGTTCTCTATTCAGGGGCCTGTGGTTGCTAAGAATGAATCTGGGTGATGATCTCTTGCTATACACATTTTTGCTTGTGATTTTTATACCCAGAACCTCCAAAACTTGGGGTAACGATGAAAATTAGAGGAGTAGAGCAGTACTGAGCTGCSAAGCAGATGCAGGGCATTACAGGTGACACGTTAGAGTGGCTTTTAAGTGTTTCCCCAGCACGCCAGAGTGCATGGATCTTGGGTATAAGAGGCTTATGAGRTATGTTCTGCAGAAATCTATGGGCTGTAATATTTTTACATTGGCTGAATCCAGAGTGTCTGCAGTAACTAGTCCTTCTGCGTGGTGATCCAGCTTGCAGCTGATGCAATAAATACAAAGATAAYATGACTTTCTCTTATTGCTGTACGTTGCCCTTCTCTGCTTATATGTAAGCAAGCAGTAGAAGTGAAAGAGAAAGGTTCCCTCGCTGTTGATGAGAAGGAGAGGCGGGTAATTCTGGAGCTGTTTGAGAAGCTTAGAGTTTCCCTCATTAGTGTATACTTCTTCCAAGTTGTACTCTACCCCTTTTCGAAGTAATCGGTGACACGTAGGAATTCCCATCACTGGCGTGTGCAGCAGGCAGATGGAGCTTTTCATTCTTCTGGGCTGAGTTCCTCGCCTCAGGTAAACAGGGAGGGAAGGCAGAGTTAAGTTTATCTTCTGTCTGCGGAGAGTTTGCCTGAAAAAAAAGAGGGGAAAAAAAAGAAAAAGTCAAAATGTGATCAAGTATTTGTCCTCATCCTGTAACCATAATATAGGGTGAATAACGGTGCTTATGCTATAGCCCCCTCTGTTATTGTGTCTGATGTATGTGCATATGATCGTTTGCCCTTTTAAAAAGGGAAACATGTCTGCTTTTTTATCCATGCAAAAGAAAAGCTTCTGAAGAATGTGTTAGAGCTTCCAAATGCATCTCTAGCCAGTTAGGCTTCTTGCTGCACTTACGAGATTTTCCACAAGAGGGAAGAGTAGCCCTTCCTAACGAGGGATGGTTGGYGTCGCAACTTGTGGCTTTCTTGGCTAGTGCAGAGATGGGAACAGAAATCAGTCRCTGAAAGGAAGCACTGCAGATAGGTCCTCAGCATGGACATATCTCAATGCCCAGTTGCACTTTCCACCTTCCCTGGGTACCTAACGAGACCTTTCTGTGAGTTCTGGAGCTTCTTAGCCTTAGAGGCCTGAGCAAAAGGTGTTATCTCGAGGTAAAACAGTTCTGTGTGTTTGTTTGCCTGTGCAAATTTAGTCAAAAAWGCAACTTTCAGGTTGTTGCCATTTGTTTAGCATATGTAGGGTAGCTTATATTGTACTCCTCAATAAGGAGCTTGTAATGCATCCTGGAAACGGGCACATCCAGACATTTGTGGAAAGCCACTTGGAAAAGCTCCYGTGCCAAACGTAGGCTGCAGCCCTCAACTCTGCTGCTTACGAGGGAAGGGGGCACTGACAGTTAGTTACCTTGTTGGAAAATAAATACTTTGCATTTGTCAGGAGTCTACAAATCTGGCTTTAAATTCTTGGCTTACAAGCCTGCTTTGCCGCAGATCTAGCTGGGGTCCTTCTAAAGTCTCCGTATATGTGCACCCACATCTGTGTGTGTTGGTGTGTATTTGGATTATGCATTGCAGGAACAGGGACTATCTCTGCAAAATCAAGTATTGCAARTTTGTTTCACAAACACCTGCAATTAGTACGTTCTGCTCATGTTTTTATTGCAGTAATTGTAATAGTTAAGAATGTGTTCAAATTGTATCAAATGTGTATATTAAAAGAAAAACAAGGAGGAAAAAATGTAAGAGTGTTTGTAGATAGAAATGTCATACTGTACCACACACAGTGTACAGTACCCAGAACGCATGAGCACGTAAGGAAAGATAGGTGATTAAAGGATTGTTTCATGTTTGTTAGAAGACAGCACAGGATAAACTTCCAAGTTGTGGAAATCCTTGCTTTTATTTTTATTCATTTATTTATTTCTCTTTCAATTGTAACTGCCTTGAAAAGTAGTGACTTTGCAGTGGATTATATGCCGGTATCCACAAAAAATAAATCGGTTTGTAGATAATAAAAATGAAATTGTGATGTCTGCATTTATTTGTCTTTCAAAGACTTAAAGTCCTGTTATAAAATTCACCCATGCACTTTCCTTGCAACTGAGCTGTTCTTGTATTTCCCACTATATATAAGTACACTTGAGTGTCAAACAGTTCTGATATGACTGAAGTTTGTTAGTTTTGAGATGGGGGGGAAAAAAAGTGAACAAAATGATGACATTGATGTGATGACATCCATTTAGTATCCATTTAATGTGTTAATGTATTTTAATGTATTAAAAAAGGAAGCATTCCTTTGAGAATACTAATTTTGTTGGAAGCTGATTATAGTTAATATCGTTTCCCATTTGAAGAACCTGAAGTTATTAGTATTACCTGGTATGTTATTAGTGCYGTACACTGTAGCATAGAAGAGTCCAATATGATATAAAAAGCCCCTCAACTTGAGGTAGTCAACACTACTGCTGAATTAATTTGAATGATGTTACCCTAACACAAATTGACAGACAATATAGTTTGGATAAAAACGACTTGTTAACAATAAGCTTTGGAACTAAGCATGAGGATGCTTTGGAGATGGCAAATACTTAATTTGTTTGTCTGTTTGTTTTGAAAGTTTCCAACAAGCATATTGGGATCTGAAGAGAGAAATGTCTAATTTGCACCTAGTGACTGAAATGCAAGCTGAGGTTCTACGAAAACTGAAAACAAATCCAACAGCAACCAAGAAAGGCAAGTCAGTGTTTGCAGGAGCACACCTTACAGATGCAAACTGTGGATTTAAGCTGTAGCATTTTAAAAAAGAAACTAGCTATCATATCTTATCAGAATTTCATCAACTGAAGCTGCTAAGCYAGACTATGTTACGGTTCCAGCCTGCCCATTTTCTGCTTTTGCCTCTGTCTCATGCTGGTCAACTTCACACATAAAGGTGTTGCTGATGTGTGGGGGTGGTATTTTTTTTTTTTATTTTTTTCCTTTTTCTTTTTTTTCCTCCCTTCTTCACTACTGTATTCTGTTCCCCTTGTGGCTTTTTTCTCAGTCAAGTGTTGCTTATGTGCACAGGGCTGAGGTGTTAAGTTTACTTGTATTTGACCTTTTACCACGACTGCTTCATATTTAAAGAAAAAAAAAGCTCACATTTATTTTCAGTCTTGTTTTCCCAGTATAGTATATTATCAAGAATTCATTTGGCAGCATTTCAAAACTAGACATTAGCAGACTGAAGATACCTTACAATTGCATTTTTCTCTATGACAGCATTCAGAAATGTTGCATTTTTTTGCAAAATGCGTGTTGGCATTTTCTGAACGCCAGACTACTGATGCTGCAAAACTYAAATCAGTGCTTAATTCGTCTGCCTCTTTGCAAATAAATAGGGGAAAAATTATCATTTCCACATAGTGCAAATGTGGTACATAATTTCAGTGATTTCAGTGAGCAGTTAATCAGATAGTTTGTCTACTTGGTATATATTTTGCAAGTCAAATGCTTTGCAAGAGGTGGTTCTTAAATGCTGAATTTTGGGACTRTCCACGTTGGCCTCACGGTGCCATCTCCTTTGTTTTCTGCTCACCTGAATTGTGGCACTTGTTGTGTTCAGAATATAAGAATTTGGTTGCACATGGGGGCCTCGGTCCCTACCCAGTACAGGGTGAAGCTGTTCTGCTTCCGAGGAGCTTGGCTGGCGCAGGGAGCTCCCGGTAGGATTCGCCTCCAGGGCGGGGACGGGCTTGGCCTGTGGCCAGCAGTGATTGAGGATCACTGTCTGCTAAACTGTCACCACCTCTTGGCACCCAGGCTGGGTCACCCTGTCACCAGGTGAGTCAGGGTTCCTGCAGTTACGATAGAAGACGCATTTGTCACATTCAGTTCCCAGTTTCTGTACAGAAATTAGGACATTTTCATCATTAAGTCTGCCAAGGTTTGTGATAATGTAGGATCTTTCGGTGTAGGATCTTTCTGTCTAGATCTGTTTTTAATTTGCAATTGTGTTTCCCTTATATGAATATTCCCTTCTTTTACTTGAATTTTTTTTTTACTATTATTTGCTAATGCACTTGTGCATATGTAGCTGCTAATGGCAGTACTGATTGATAGGATCGCAAAGGTAGATTTTTTTTCCTTTTGTTCTATAGACTTCTTTCTATAACTTTTTTTTAAAAGTATGTAAGAATTTGTGGATTTAAGATGCAAGTTAAAACTGTTCTTCACTTAGTTCCTCAGCACCATGAAATGCAGGTATTTCTGTAATGAAATGTAGGAAGATAATGTATAGAAAAATCCTGAGTTGCACAAACTACAGGATAGAATTAACTTTAAAATTTCCATTTCTYGTAACTGTAGTACTGGCTGTTGGACATTTTATCTTTATCGAACAGAAACGAGATCCTGCTCTTTTTTTTTTTTATAAGTATTCATAATCTTTGGATATGTGCAGAGTTAAATCCATTAAATCTGTTACATCAAAACTATATTTGTTATTAAGATACTGCCAGTTACCACRTGGATCCTATTTGGGGATCCTTTATGGAAGAAGGCATTTTCAGTGTGCGCTCGTGGATTTTTCTTGCATTTGCCAAGCCTTTCTCAAGGAAGTGTGTGCGACCCGGCCTTTTCTTTCTGCCTGATGTTTTGCAGGGCTGTTTGTCATGCAGAGCATCAACAAATTTGAGTGAAAATTCCAAACTACCYTCACTTGTGCACTCGTGTGCACTGCGGAGAGATTGGTGTTTGTTTATTTTAGCTCTTACCTGGGGTGTGTTTATCTGCTGTTTCAAGATGGTCAGAAAAAGAGGCCCTGATCGCTCCAGCGCTTGCTCTTTGCTGCTGTAGTTGGTCCGAACTTGGTGGCAGCCAATTTTTTKTTGTTSTTTTTACTGTTTCCMTCTGGACAATCTGTTACACAGGGAGAAAAAAGAAGGCTTCACAGAGCCAATTTAGCAGGATCATTCTGTGCCCGTGCCTTGTTCAGTTAACACTGGAAATATTAAATAGGAACTTTGACTGGTTTTACCCTGCCAGGTGATTCAAGTTAAACTATACCGCKCTCTCACTGCAGGGGGCTGTGATGCCATACAGTTTTGAAGATGATGAGCTGAGGTGCTGCAATAAGCCATGTTTAACTCTCTGTAACTATTTTATGGCTTAATGGTTTAATTATGCCTAGATTTTTTTTTCCAGCTTTGCTAATGTTGTAATATTTGGAATATTCTCCAATGACAGATACTTTTTTTTTTCCTTCTTTCTTTGAAATTTTAAAGGTCCATAGATCTCTACATGGCTTTTTTACACCTGTTAGCAGAGGTTAAATGTAGGTCTTTTTACCTTAAACCTTCAGATTTGATGAGCATACTACTGAAAAATGCTTTTGCTGGCATTGTGAACTGGGTACCGCTTTCTTATTTTCTGCAGACTAGCTGAAGCTGCCTATTCTGACCACAAGCGTGGCTTCTCTTTGTGTCTCTAGACAACAAGAGCTCGTCTAGGTTTAAGCAGGACCTTGGACAATTTCTTGGTGTTGCCTATTTAGACCTACCTAGTGAATTCAGGGTTCTCTGGTTTACCTTGCAAAGTCTGCCCGAGAAGATCCATAACGTAGTTCTCAGCTACAAATTGTAAAATGTTACTTGCTGCAGTAACTTGAAAACACTGCTTGTAACATATGCTGTACTGCAGTGTATTCAGAGAATATAAAATGCTCTGTCTTCTGTGCAAATAACTCTTTCTTTTATCTTCTTTCTCCAGCTGCTTCTGCACCAGTGCAGTGTGTTGAAGACTTGGAGAAGAACCTTACGAAGCTGCATTTGACCACAGTCTATAAAAGCCCATCTCTGGCACCGAACGATCAAGTCCTCTGCAGTGCTCTGCCCCTCCCTGTAAAAATCCCCTCTGAAAGAGTGACTCTGCACACGTGGACAGATGGCAGACCTACGCCAGTGGATGGGAAAACATTTCAGGAACAGCATTCTTATGGCAAGAGCTCTCTGGAAGATAATTCCTGGGTATTCCCAAGTCCTCCAAAGCCTAATGAGAATGCCTTTTGGGAAATGAAAAACAAAACATCCCTGTTAAACTGTCCAGTAGATTACCTGGATCAGTGTAATCAAAATTGCCTGCACAAGAGTTAAGCAATTTTCAGAATGAACTGAAGCATTTTTAGAGTGGTTCTGAATAGGCACCTTATTGCTGGAATTTTTTACAGGGGGCAAACAATGAGTTGAGACTTTTTTTTTTTTTTTTTTCTTCTTTTAGTTCCAAACCAGAAAGCCAAGTCTTTCTCTGCTGTAACTTAAGGAGCAAGTTCCTTGAAGTTCAAGCTGCGCTGGTATAATGTAAATGTAAACAAATCTAGCATGGGGCCTAAATAGTTTTTCCCTGCAAATGGCATGCATTTGCAGGAGATGACACTTGAAAGTTAGTTCTTGGAATAATAATAAAAAAAAAAACTCAGCTCTTTATTTGTTTGCTATTTGTATAATCTCAAGAAAATAGTTGGTAGCCTGCGTTGGCTATAACAGCTATCAGCTAAATTTTGGCCGTCTCAGACTAAGACCAAGAATTTGAGTCTCTGTCCTTCCCTCCTTCCTCCTTTCAGTTATTTCCTGATTCTTCTCAGTTAGAAATAATGTGTGTGTGGTGTTTTTTTTTTTTAATAAAAACAAATAGTTTTTTTTCCAAAACTTTGTTCTTTTTCCAAAACTTTGATTTTATGTTGAGATAAAGGCAAGGGGGGAAAAACTCCCCGGCTATCCCATAGAGATTGCACCATTATAGGCCTTGCTGCAGACTATAGAGGATCGTAAGTGGTGCTGCTGGAAGCCAGAAGCCGTAGAGGTCCAGCTGCCTTTCAGTATGTGCTGAGGAAGCGGATTTTACCTGGTGCACGAGGGTGCCTGGCACCCATCCCTCCTGTTCCCCTTGCAGTTATCTCGGCTGGGCCGCCTTTGGAYGTCACCAAAGGCTGACATGTTATTTGTGTGGTCGCCAAGGCTGCTAATTTTTCTTTAATGAAAGAAACAAAGCCTTAATTTAATCAGATGTTTTAGCATTGTTGATGTCTCTAAAAATAATTTGTGTGGTATCTTTAATATGCCACCGAAACTGAAGTTATTTGAATTGCAGCYGCCTGCTTTGCAGATTGAGTATCTGAGTACTACTCTCTTCTCTTAAGCCAAGAACTTTTTTAGACAAATACAGTTTATGCTTTTTAATTGCTGCGTTTAATATCTGGTTTAATATAACAGGGTTAAGTGACCTGCTTGACTCCTCAGACCTTGGAGGAAAATGCTGTGTAGTTTAGATCTTTGACACCGAGCTTGTCGGGATGGGGAAGTTAATACTGCCCTTTACAGGGGTGTGAAGGGCTTGACTGCGCAGGTCAGGCTTCAGTCCAAGGAAAACTAAATTCATGGCTGTTCAGTAGCCAGTTATCTTAATCCCTTGCAAACACACAGCAAGGTGATGACTAGCAGAGCCATGTTAGTGGTGGACCACCAAGGTGCTCCTTAACTGAGGTGTGTGTGGTTCCAGCCACCTTCTTCCCTGGGGATCAAGTATTTCACAGGGCGACTGTCTTCTTGTGTTTGAGCTTGTCTATCAAACTTGAAAGCATCTTCTCGCTCCCTTCGAGTGGCCTAGGGAACAGCACACGTAAGTAACRCTTCCCGTTCACCAGATCCTGTTTTTATCTTTCCAGTATCTTGCTCACGTAGGCGGGTTTGTCTGCGATTAATGGAAATGGTCTCAGCCGCTGGAATTTATTCTGACCAATGAACACGGCTGACTCAGGGGAGTACAATCTCTTGGAAAGTAATAGAACAAACCCAATATGCATAAAACAAATCCAAGGCACTAGGCTTTTGCTGATAGAACCAACTACCTGTGTAATAACGAGGTGGCAGGAAGCATTTCTCATAGGCTGCATAGGCACTATTGTATCTAGTCCCAATGCTACTTTTTGAGGTGCCCCACTTGCAAAGAATTTTTTTTTTAATTAATGTTATCCCACAGATCATTCTGACTGATATTTTGAATTGTGCAATGAAGAAATTCTACTGTGTATGATTTAAAATAAATCTATTTTTATTTGAAAYGGATTTTAGTTACAACTGTCCTTCTAGTATTTGGCACAACCATTTCTCCTCAGTTTGGAATGTGTGTGAAGTCAYTCCAGCTACAAAATGGCAGAGTCGAGGCTCATTCTCACCCGTTTAGGAAGGAAAGACACACAGACAGGCAGAAAATACATCCCCTGGATGTTGAAAAAGGAAGGGCTCGGGCACCTTCAGTCACAGCGTGTTCCTGGCGTTTCACTGACCCCATTGCAGTGCCCTGTCAGCCTGTGTCTGCAAGGGAAAAAGGAAAACGAAGCTTTCCTGTTCTGTGCCAGTCCTGGCCTTGTCATTTTCTCTCATCTCCTGCGCCCCAGAAGCGGGGGGTGAAGTGGCATTTGCAGAGAGCAGCTTTGCAGGCACCTCAGCGCTGCGGCCTCCCTGGCGGCAGGGTTGCACTGCAGCCGCTCGCCGCTGCGGCCGAGCAGAGCCGGGCGAGGGGCGCCCGGGGCCGCAGAGCCGGGCGAGGGGCGCCCGGGGCCGCAGAGCCCGGGCGAGGGGCGCCCGGGGCCGCAGAGCCCGGGCGAGGGGCGCCCGGGGCCGCAGAGCCCGGGCGAGGGGCGCCCGCGGCCGCAGAGCCGGGCGAGGGGCGCCCGGGGCCGCAGAGCCCGGGCGAGGGGCGCCCGGAGCCGCAGAGCCGGGCGAGGGGCGCCCGGGGCCGCAGCCCCCCGGCAGCGTGGAGCAGCCGCGGGGTGGAAGCTGCTGCCCGCCCTCCGCTGCAGAGGGAGGCACCTTTAAACCCACTCCCTGCTCAGCAGGGAAAACTCTCCTGCCCCGACTGACTGCAAGGAAAATGCAGGAGCAGCAGCAGTGCCGGGGGTCTGCACACACACACTGCAATTCATCTGCAATTCTAGCTATGAAATGCACAGGGTACGGACCCAAATTTTCAAKCCAGGTAACTAATGATAAAAACACATGATTGGAGGCTTTGGCCACTTGAAAAGTTCTCTTAACCCACAGCTTGGATTATTTGGTATTTCCCTGTGATCAATGTGTACTTGGATATTGGGAGAGGTCAGCTAACCTAACAAACAACAGCTCCTCATATAAGCTCTCCCTGCTTAGTTCTTTTTACAATTTTAAAGGTCTGCTTGCTCTAAGCCCCCTTGCCAGGTTTGTGGGTTTCCAGTTGAGAGGAGCAGAAGACAACTTAGCTGTGATGTGCTGCCAGATGTTTSAGGCTGGAAAAAGACAACAGCTATGCTGGTCAAGCAGGGAGCTACAGTGAGGTGATACTCAAACTGCTCCATTTAACATGAACTATATGAGAAATGTAAAGTTGATTTCATCTACTTTCATCTTGTAGGTTTTAAGTGTTACTTGTAGCAGCCTCTGTGGTTCCCTTATACAGATGCTTGCGTTTTGATGCTTTGGCCTACTGCAGGACTGTGCAAAAACTTTTCTCGCTCTCGCTAGTCTTCAGGCAGCACCTCTGTAGAAAAGAGATCGGGTTGCCTGTTGTGTTGTGCGCTCTGAGCACAAAAYAAACGTGGTGGTGTTTCTGTAACTGTCGAATGTCAGCCTTTTGCCTCTTCAGAGAGGAAGGGCTGTTACTACTTGCAATTGTATGAACACAGGATAGTGGGCCGAAATACTTGATTATTTTACTATCTGCACTAAAAGTGAGAGTTCCTTTTAAACTGAGTTGCACATTCCCATGACTGATGAACAGGTAAACTATTTAAATGCTTTATTCTTTCTGGTAAATGTTCTGGTAAGAACTCAGATCAGCGGCTGCCACTTTGATCCCATCACCAGATTTTACGATGGAAGGGGTTGAGTGGCACAAACACCAAGGCAGCCCTGGATGCAGTAACTGGTGAGGTGATGGTGGAGGCTTGATCCAGGGAAGAAGCAGGACAGAATAATGGGATATTGCACTAATTGTTGGCCTAATCTGTAGGATACTTGAAACTAGATGGGGACCACCTCGGTCTTGACTGTGTTTGGCCATTTCTACACCTGGGGCATGAACAGAGAGGACAGTGTTGCAAGGACTACTTGAGGCACGTGGCTATAGGAAACAGGACGGGGAAGGACTGTCTTTGGCTTCCAACTTAATCGCTGCGTCAACAGCCCAGGGTGGTAATGGGAGATGRTTGCACTTCTCTTAGAAAACTCTTTTAAAAGATAACTCATCCTTCTGGAACAAGTTTTCAGTTTACCCTATGAAGGTGAACTTCTTAAGCAAGGATGTTGTCGTCCTCCTTCTCCCCTTTAAGACACCAGTTTCATGGGGCTCATCTCTCAAGGAGTTTGCAGTGAAGTCAGCGTACTTAAAAGCACAGTTTGCAATGAAATAAATCCACGTCTGTTCCCCCAGGGGTGAAGAAGGGGCAGGGATTGGCCCCTTTACTGCAGAGGCAGTGTCAGAAAGCTCCGGGGTACCCTGCAGGTGATGAGCTGCTCCCTTAGTTCCAGGTGTTATTCCATGGGTGGCAAGAGGCCACATGTGGGCAGCCTGGCACGAGCGGAGCACGGGGGTCCCACCACAGGAGAGCCCGGGACGRGGGCTCCTCAAGGCCGCACTGAAAACGCCGCAGCTCTGCGAAAGCTGCTGCAGCGACTGCAGGCACTGCAAACCCTCCGGAGCGTCAGCCTCTCACCACTCATGAGCAAAAAGGGTGCTTTTTTTAAAGAAATGTTCCTTTTTTCCCACTTTACTAATGAAGCACAGCTAGGGGCATTGTTTATACTATGGACGTCTTTTTCCATGCAACTTGAGGATCCTGAGTTGCTAATCTCAGGAGGAAGGAAGGGTGGCAGCTCAGGCAAAAACAAAATCTGAAGCACTTTACCAGCATGAGTTTTTCGTTTCCTAGTCCTCGTTCTTTCCCTTAAATAAAAGATGTAAATGCAATTAAAACAGAGGGTAATGCATAAGACATTAACTGAAAGGTGTGAAATCCAGGATTCGGAACTGGGAAACATCAAATTAAGGCCATGGGTGCAGCACAGAGATGTCAGTGCCAGGGCACAGAGCGGAACCCGGCTCTGAGGGCTACGGAGAACAAAGGAGGAGCTGCAATAACCGCCGGTGTTACGTGTTTTACCGGGAACTGGGTGAAGAGAAGGGCCAGCTTTATCCAGGACGTGCAATTCTAGGTAGCACAGCAGAGCTTTCTGTCACCCCAGCATTTGCTGTCCCTCAGCCGAGCTGCTCATAAAAAGGAGAAGAAGTAATACTTGATATTAGGTTAAATAATCAGGTAGTTAGGATAAATTATTAGGTTAAATAAGAGGTTAAAGGGGGAAATAGGTTGTTGTAGGGCGTATCTGCCAGCTGTGGCACAAGGCAGAGTAAAATCCAGTCGTGCTGCGGGCGAAGGCCCCTTCCCTTAGCACTGTCCCCACAGCATGTGGTCCAGTAAAGGTAAGAACACCCAAGTGCTCTTTTTAGATCTTCATAATGGAGAACAGAAAAGGAGGACTGCTGTCCTCATCTCATGAGCTACTTTAAGTTTCCTTTTTAAAATTAAAAAAATTAAAATATTTTAAATTAATTAAATTTAAATTAAAATTAAAAAAATGTTAATTATTAGAAAATAAATATATTTTTAAATTTAAATTCCCCACTTGCTGTGCCAGGGGAGCCAAGAGCACGTACAGCTGTAGGAAAGGTGAGTCCACAGAAGCTATTTCACAGTAGTTAGTTTTGGAGCCGAGTCCACCCAGAGCGGCCTGGCAAGCTTGCAGCTTGCTCCACATCCTTTCAGCCTTCTCTTCACAGGCCCTCCCTGCTCCTTCCTCCGAGCTGCTGTCCAGTAACACAGGCGCTGGGATTGTTATTGATGACTGTAGTAAGATGCACAGACTACAGTGCAAGGATTAACCTGGGGGGCTAAGTACCTCACCTAGGTGCTTCCTGGAAAGACTGATCTGAATTTCCACTTGGAATAACTTTGCTGCAGTACCTATTTTGGGGAAGCAGTGCCAGTAGGAACAAGTTGCAATCTGCACATATTTTTGATGAAAATGTAACATGCTACCATATGCTCAGACTAATGTATTTTTCTTCTCAGAGCACGAAAGCAACCATGTAAGTAACTGTCATAAGTGAACACATTCTTTCCTTCATTTATGAAGAAATTCCTTACTCATTTCAAAACACTTCAAAAGATACCCTAGAACAGCAGAGTTTTAAGTGCAATCTCCAGTGAAACCATTTACTGGTATTTGGGAATTCTAAAATTAAGCTGCTTCAAGTGACAATATACAAAAGACACTGACTTTTTTAAAAATAGAGTCTTGCTTGCATGCTCTAGTTTGTGTAACACTGAATTGTTACTCGATATTTAAGATCTGAGGTTCACCTTACATACGTAGTTGAGTTGTTGTTTACTCATCACTGCACCAGACAGTTTTGCCAGTGTGGTCATTCACAGCTSAAGTGCAGAAGTTGGTATAATGCTCTTGCTTCTCAAAGGGGAAAGAGGGGGAGGATTCCCCCTCCCTGGGCTCTGGGTCTACATCACAGACTTGTTTTTCTTCTGGGGTCCAAGGAGCCAGTCAGGCGCCCTGCACGGGCACCACGGACACTTGAGTGAGGCTCACGTGGTGCTACCAGCTGCTCTCACTGCTCTAACCAAAACCAGATGAAGCCAAGTGGTCCAAGAAGCTCTTGTGCAACTTGCCATCTCGGTCCTGTAGCAAGAGGACATCAAGCTGTTCCAAGTAAGTAGAAATTGAGCAATGCGACATGTTTCAAGTGCTGATGACACCTTCTGCATGCATTTTGCTCTGTCTTTTTTTTAAAGCATGACCTCTGGTCTGATCTTCTGCCCGTTCATCTTTTGCTGTAGGAAGACACCACCACTTACTGAGTTTTAGCATCATCTTGGTATCCTTTAACAGGCAGGGAATGGACTTCTTAATATTCCTTCCTCCCAGGGACAGTTCAGTTGAATGCTGTCTCTACAGACCCTTAACTTCAGATGAWAAACAGAATGATTTTAGGGTATATCTATTTGTGATCAGTGCCAAAACCACTTAAGGGTGAATTATTTAAGTAAGTTATGCAGACTGCCTCGTATCATGTATATCATGTAAATCAGTAACACTCTCTGGAACACAAGGATCATAAAAATCTCAAGTCCCCAGGGAGAGGGACAGACTTTGTAATGTCACAAACTGACAGCATGTTTTGTTTCTTTTAATTACATAAATGTTCTTGGCTTTTAATTTCAGACATTTTATTCTCCATACATCCTACTTTGCTTATTTCAGTTGAATTCTACCTGGGRGGCTAGAGATGATTTCAGAAGTCTATTTAAATTGTTCAAATCAAAGCTTGATATAAAATTTCAAAACTTTGTTGTAAGAGTCAACTACACATTTGAAGGAAGCTTCTTTTTTATCTTCTTAATTCCAGTTGCTCTGTATTCTTCTCTTTGCTTCAAATATTCTGCTTTGCATTCTTCATAGAAAGCTGGATCTTGATAGCTACAAGACAGACACAGATATAATATTGTTTTTCCTCTTGGAAGAGGGAGCAGATAAGGCCTCAACAGCACTCAMCTGATCTGTCTCAAACCCACATTTGCTTTCCTTCAATGGCCAAGTTAGTCGCTATATTTTTAAACTCTAACTAATAGGCTGGTCTACATCCTCTCATAACCTTGCCCTCTGTTGAGGCATGGACCTTTTCAAACCCATGTAGTGGAAAAAATGAAGAGGAAGATAGAGAAGGGCAAATACAGCTGGATTTCAATTTAGCTAAATCATACATTTTTGTTTGCAATTAGCTTCCTCAGCATGTGGATCTGCAGGAGTGCACAGACATTTATGCAACCTAGTAAGTACTATTAACTGCACTGGAACAGGTTCAAGTATATGTCTTCAATAGGAAGTGCATAGGCCCTTGGTCATGAAGTTTAATTAATTTTACTTGCAATTATTTGGAAGAGCATTACTTAAATACTAAGCCTTTGTTCAGTAGTGTGTATGTGGTTGAGGTAAATTAAAAAAAAAAGCTGCATGCAGGTATGGACAAGTAAAACTGAGTACTGCAGCAATTTCTGTGCAGTTAGATTAGGAACTTCTGCCTCCCTGCACATGTTTTTTTGCATCTACTCCTAACTACCCAAGAATACTTGTCACTATTTTAAAGGCATTTAAGAGGCTACCTGACTTATCCCACCATATTATTYCACTTAATTAACCAAATCCCCACATTAAACTCACTGGAACCCATTCTCAAACCAAGAAATTCCAGAATTCAACGTGGCAGCCAGATAGGGGCAAAGGGAGACTTGAGAAGAGACTTCCCTTCCCTCATGGCATCGGGGACTAGCGGAGCTCTCTGCCATCCAGCGTAACTGCCCCTTGCTGCTGCTCTTGCTCCGCGCATCTGCGGGCCCTTTTCACAACAACTAGTGACTACTGGAAGCCTCTTGTGTAAGGGAAACCCGAAGGAACGTACACTAACGTAGCGTGGAGGTTCTTCTGCACATCCCATGAGCTCAGCTTTATGAAGGAAACACCTTGAGCAGCCCGCTGTTCTCTGAAGTAAAAGTTGGCTTCTCACAAACTACTACTAATTAGGGTSCTACATCCAAGTCACAAGGCTTGCGAATCCCATGGGAGAAGGTTCAAGATCTATATTCATTTCTGTATTAGTGTAGGCCAAAAAAATTCAGACAAGAAAGAAATCAAAAGCGACTTACTAAGAAACCAGACAATCCTTCAGTGCTGTGTTCTCTTGCCGACACTTCACCACCATAAGAAGACCAGTTTCTTTACAGCATTTAGTAAATGCTGGGGAACAAAAACACAAAACATCCCTAGTTAGAAAAAAATGGCAATTAGTACAACCCCCACCCGGGTGTATCTTAATCCAAATGAAAACCATCCCTGACCAGATCTACTATTAGAATCACGGTTCTCCTCAAGTCCCGTGCTGTTTGTAAGGTCTTTGTCACTTGTTTAGCGACYGCATTTTAATTACGAGTTGCTCCTCACATCCCAACAGCTGCTCTCCCTCGGCGCCGCCGCTAAAGCCCACGGCTTCCCGAGGCGGCGCCGGTCGGAAGCGCTGGAGCTTCCCGCCCCAGCGGCCGCAGCGACCCGAGGGGCAGCGAGCAGAGCCGGGCAAGCCGGGGGGCTGCAGCCGTCCCCTGCCGCGAGGGCAAAGCACTGAGCTGCTGATGAGCCCTGCGCCCGCATGGAGGGATGGTGACTCGGGTTAGGGCGTGTTTTTCCCTCTGGGAATAGCTACAGTTATGTCACATTGTTGCCACACTCCGTGCTSGTGTTCTGCTTAGTAATAATGGTGGAGAACTAGACCAGAATCAGCCCTCTCCGAGGAGATCCCAAGCTGTGTATAAGCAGCCTATATTAGTAATCAATCAGCGGCTGTGTTTTATAGATGTGGAAAGAGAGAAAAAGCTACAGAGAGAAAACAGAGAGAAAAAGCTACAGAGAGAGCTACAGAGAGAAAAAGCCAAGGGGGCAAGGGAGACGGGCCTAGGTCAACCAGAAGCCAGGCTGAGAGCCAAGCCAGATCTTCTGTGTTCCTGCCTGGAATGCCCCACTTCTCCTCTTCCTCGTGTTTTCTGATAACTACCTGGTACCAGATAAATGAACCAGGCAATTTTTATTTTATTGAATACCTTCAGTAAAACTTCCAGTTAACCTATTAACTACCAAAACTTCATGATGCTGCAGGAACTTAATAATACTATAAAGCGTAGATTAAGACAGCTATACTCAACTGGGCATGTATTGGCATTGCTAGTTATTGTCCTGTTGGTATGCGAGTTTTTGGCATAAATTCCAAACCAATCTTCCCTTTTTGTCGATCAGATTCACACTGCTTACAAAAGTAGCAACAACTTCTTTGAGCACTTCTAGGAACCGACTGCACAGACTCACCTTTTCCAACTGTGCCGAGAACCCAAGAGTGAACCCTAAAACTGAACTAAAAAAATCTATTTTTTGTTGCTTCTGTTGGACTATTTATATTGAATGTCCCCCTATCAACATCTCATATAAAAGTCATACATATTATTACTCTACATATAAATTATCAAACAGATCCAAGGATCAGAAGCCCTTGTGAGGGTACAGTCCTCATTTCCAGCTCTTTAAAATCCCTTTGAGCAGCTTGTAAAGGAACGTGGTGGAAGACGGGTTTAGTTACAAACGTCTACGAGAAGCTTTATGGGAATCCAGAAAATGTTTTAATTTCAGTTATGCTCTGTCTGCCCTACAGCTCTTCAGTGAACCAGAGCATCTCACTGTCGAGCTGCACAGGGTATTAAAACTGCAGCTTGGGAGAATAACCTCACAAAGAGAAAACAGTATTTCCAGAAGCAGTCTCAAACCAAGGATTAATCTCAGCCTATCAAAGTCACCCCCACATTCCTCACTCAAGCAGCGTTGATATTGCAGACCAAAACTTCAGGGTGCGTAATGAGATATTATASCACAGAACAACAGGATCTGATTGCAAGCCCTTTGTACTTTAATATTTCAACAGCTCCGAGCAGAAATTAAAACTCCGGGGGACCCGGCGTCACACGCAGAACGAACCTGTTTCCCGAGACTCTCTGCCATAAAGAGCCCAACTGYTCTTTCACTGCTTATTCTGGAAAGAGACGGTTGCTCTTTTCAAATTCTGCCCACAATCCAATCTTTAGAATTCCAGAAAACGGCTTYCCAGGGCTTTACACATTCACATGGGGAAAGAAGGATTTCCTTCCCTTAGCAAGCGGCAAGCTACCCAAGTAGGTGCTTACAGACAAGCAAAACTAGGTGCAAATTTGAGTCCAATTCATTGCAGAATGGTAACAAACTAAATAAATATGTTTCAAAGAATAAAAATCATTTCTAGCATGTAGGGAACAAACACAGAAGTCTTTCCACGTACCAAGCAAGAGAAGGATAAAACCTGTTTACAACTTATTATTTCTACACAACCAGCAAGACAGAAATTGCTTTAAGGGCTCCTCATTATTATTTTTAGTGCATGAACTGTAACATGAGGGCCATTTTGGAAATGTTCATTTTTTGAAGATTTAGAATATAACAGTAACTTAACATTTTTAATATTCGTATTTGCAGTGTTGTGCAATGAATATAACATTAAGTATTATTTATCAATCATAACAGATATTTTGCTAGGTTTTCCTGTTCATAAAATAAATGAAATATTCCTTATTATCAAGATAAAATCGATCCTCTCGGGTCCGCCTGTAGTTTATTTAAAGACTTTACAATTTTACTACTTAAGAGAAACTCCTACAGAGGTGTTATCTCACCATTTATATTTTCTCAACACTTATGATATTGCTATCACACTCTTAAATAAAAAAAAAGGAAAAAAAAAGGGCTTGTATCATGATCTGGAGTAGGCTTACATTCTATTCCCATGGTGTATTTTTTATCCTCAGGAAAAAAAATAAAAATAAATAGTTTTGTCCAAGGTTTGGATCTTTCTGCTTTACTGCTTGGTGAAGAAAAAATGCCCAAGCAACGAGATGGATTTGGGGGGAGAAGGAAGGGACAGAGAGCGGATGCAATTTAGTTAAAAAGAAGAAGAACTTGCAACCCAGGGATCCACAGTCTGTGCTTGTAACATGCGAACAAGAAAAACACCAAAATGGCGCAAAACTTTATCAACAATATTTGATGCTAAAGTCATGCTTTTAATTTTGTATTAAATTGTAATTTATTAGCTTGTTGCTTTGCAGATTAGTCAGGACGCACGGAACAGATTCCTGGTGCATTTAATGAGCCACAGGAGGTAGGGGAGCGAACCCGGCAAGGCTGCTGTTCATTGCGGAGTGCGCTGGAGCTATTTGGGATTTCCAAGCCCGTACAAAGGGAAGCTGCTCTGTAGATTGAGCACGGTTCAGTTAACATCACTGAATATCTAATACCTCCAACTCAATTAATTCTCACCTGATTAAGATCAGGCTGATATTCAAACTAAATCATCTCTCCAGTCAAGTAGAAATCAATATTTCTGATTTTACTTTTAAATTACGATAACAAATAAAATACACGCATCGTCGGTATGCCAGGAGTGGCTTTCCTATTCCAGCCTAGGATGGCATGCATAACACAGCTGATTAAAGAATTAGAATAATTTGAGCAACAATATATATAAGACCGAGATTAATTTGAATAGAGGGAGATAGCATGAAATAATTAAGTGCATCCTATATAGGGCAAACAGAAAACTGACATAAAATAACCTGGATTCTTTCAAGTGAACCTCTGTTACCAGATCAACTACTGTGTCTGCCCAGGCATCCATTCACTATATGATACCAGTAATGCTATAGATATCCATTCGCTATATGATACCAGTAATGCTCTAGGGCTCCCTTTTCCCTCCCCAGGAGCAGCTGCCCCGCGCTGCTCCATGCACCAACTCAGGCTCGGATTCCCTGCCGGGGCAGACTGAGGCAATCTGACTACCTTAGGGAAGGGAGATCCGCCCTTCCTGGGGATATCCCTGCTCTCTTCCAGTGCCTTGTCAGTGGGAAACCAGCTCCATCCGAAAGCAGGCAATGCAACCAGAGGATCCTCCAGCAAACCAGAGGGTATCTTGTTGCTCTCCGCTATGAAATGCTGCAAAGTCACTCACGACTGAGAAGGGAAGATACAGCAAGAGAAGTGTCAAAAAGGTGGAGAGCACAGCATACAGGGAGAAGGAGGTGGAAGATTCCCCCCAAACTACAAGCTCCCCTTCCCTAAACACACTGCCTTGGGATAAGGAATGAGTTACCAATATCCTAGAAGGCCCTCTGAAGACTTTGCTCTAGGTGACACACACAGGTAAAGATGAGGAAATGACAGGCTGCATCAGACACCAGACCCATTCATTCTGCATCCCATCTTCCTCAGGAACCAGTGACAGCAGCTTCAGAAAAAGGTGCCACCAAGRCTACATTATGGCACAGCTTCCTCCTCACCATCTCCTACTGCCAACTTGGCTTGGACCCTGAAGCATTAACTGCTCAKATCTCTTTCAAAGCACTGACAACTCTCCAAGACAAGAGGAGGAACAAAGAGTGAAAAAAACAGCCAAATACCAAAACACACATACGGATTTGAATTCCCTTCAGATCAAGCTGTGCCTGGCTTATGTCCTGCTTGAGTCCCACCTACTGCAATTGTGTCATCCATCTGTGTCACACTCTGACTGTCTTTGTTATTAAGAAGTTCTCAAACTTTACTACTGCAAACTTGTGGCCTGAAAGTGCAGCTTGGCTGCAGAAGACCCTGCCTGTCCTGCCAGCCTCCCTTCTCCCTGGCAATTGTTTAATGTAGCCTTAGGAGGCCCAAGCAGCAGAGAGGAGCAGCAGCCTGTGCAGCCCCAGATGTCCCTTCTCCAGAGCAATCCCACTAGCTTGCCCTCGCATACGTGTCTCAGGGAGCCCCGTGACAGCAGATAAACAAGTGGCAACGCCAGGAGATTAGCAGAGGAGTTAACTAAAAAAAGATGTTGTTCCCAGAACAATAATCCAGGCTGGCTCCGGAGCTGAGAAAACAGTGCAGTGTGAATGACTGACATGAACTCACATGGCAGCCCCGGCAGTGTCGGGCCAGCTGTAACGGGGGGCCCGAGGGGACACCCGGGGAGGCTGTTCGTGAGAGCAACAAGAGAGTGGTGTCCTAGTTGGGAGCAGGGCACAGACRGCAGCGCCTCCCAGGCTCCCCCTCGGACACCATCAGCAAGCTCCGAAATGACCTGCTTTCCCATTCAGGTCTCACTGCTCTCGCTGCCTTCCATGTTCCAAGGCCCT